TCACAGACAGTTGTACTAAAGAAACGCCATGGACTCTACTGGAGTTTATTCTCTGTGTGGCCCCTTCTCCTCTCCCCCATCCACGCACATCCATAAAGTCACAGAGTTCAAGGCCTGAAGGGATGACCAGATGATCCACTCTGACCTGCCGTATGCCAACACCACCCAGCACCTGCACACCAAACCCAACAACTGAAATTAGACTGAAGTGTCACAGCCCTCAGGACACTAGATGGTTCTGTGCCATTGGCAAATAATAGGAGAGACTGAAGGGCTCCAGTGCCCAAGGCCCCCACAATGGCAGGGAAATTATTGAGATACACCCAGAAAATCCTGAGAAGTGACCTGCACCACACGCTGCCGAGGAAAGTGAACCACCCACAATGTCCCTGCCAATCTGACCAGGGGGGAAATTACTTCCTGATGCCCACATGTTGATCAGTTAGACCCTGAGCATGTGGGCAAGACCCAGCCAGCAAAGAACCCGAGAAAGAGAGAATGGTTCGGTGTCACCCCAGAGCCATGGCACATCCCACCTAGTGTTCCATCTCCAGCCAAGGGTGTCCGATTCTTCAGAGATTTAAATAAAATCTCCCAGAATACACTGGGTCGGGGGGAGGAATCCCTTCCTGACCCCTGCCAGTGGCCAGATGAAACCCTGAAGCATGAGCTTTTAGGAACATAAGACATACGCTGCAAGTGAGCCCCAGGGTTGCTGAGCCCTGCCCCCCACCATCACAAGCAGCCCCGTCATACAGTCCCAATCAGACATGTGTCCAGTTCTCTCTTCAAACTAATTCAGTCATTTACCTCCCACAACTCCTATTGGGAGGCTGCTCCAGAACCTCGCCCCGCTGGAGGTTAGAAACCTCCCTGTAATTTTTAGCCAGTCCCTCCATCTCTCACACGCCTGAATGTTCATGTGAGCCAGACTGACACAGTCTGGCTCCTTGTCCCCCTCTAGTGGTTAGGCCATGAATGGTGGTTTAGAAGACAGTGGGCCCAGTCCCCAGCTGGTGGTAATGGATATACAGCTCCATTGGAGGCAGTATCTCAGATCTACAGATGCTGCAAATTGCTTTAGCACCACCAAAGTCAATGGAACGTGTTGAGGATCTACCCCAGTCTTACTCCAGTCTGACTCCTTTGGTTCCAGTGAAGCCACTACTGATTTATACATACAAGCAAGCAAGACAACTCCCATCATTGTTTTCAGTGGCCATGGAATGGGTGCAAGTGACCAAGCAGTGTAACGGGTATTGTTTTTGCACAGAATGAAAGTCTGAATTCCTCTCGTGCACACAATTGACACCCATTTACTCCACAACTGGACCAGATTTTCTACTGGTGTAAAGCACCCCAGCGACAGTGACATCAGCGAAGTTAATCTGGATTTGCATTGGTGCAACTGACGTCAAAATCAGACCTGTTTGTGTGCAAGCTGTGTGGTCATGGAAATAACTGACGTTAATGAATACTTAAAGATACTACGTAAGCAATCTTTAATTAGAGAAAGACAGAAAATTGATTCTTGGTGAATTACCTACACCCAGTCAGTCTCCTTAGGGCAGCTTTGATCTCTTTGTTCCTCATGATGTAGATAATTGGATTCATGATTGGTGGCAATATGGAATAAAGAACAGCCGCCACAAGATCCAGAGCAGATGGGGAGCTGGAGGTGGGTTTCAGGTAGGCAAAGGCCCCAGTGCAAACAAACAAGGAGACCACAGAGAGGTGAGGGAGGCAGGTGGAGAAGGCTTTATGCCGGCCCTGCTCAGAGGGGATGATTTGAGCACTGATTTGCCCTGATTTGCACTGATTTGAAGATCTGAACATATGACACAATGATAAAAACAAAAGGAGCCTAAGACTAAACACACAGTAAAGGCAAGAACCCCAACTTCACTCAGATATGAGCCAGAACAGGTGAGCTTCAGCAGCTGGGGGATTTCACAGAAGAACTGATCCACCATGTTGCCTCCACAGAAGGTCAATGCAAATGTGTTTCCGGTATGTAGCACAGAGAAGAGAATCCCACTGATCCTGGCACCGGCTGCCATTTGGACACAAGCTCTGCTGTTCATCATTCTCTCATAGTGCAGTGGTTGGCAGATGGCGACATATTGGTCATACACCATGACGGTGAGAAGGGAAAAATCCGCTGCCAGCAAGAAGAAGGGGGAAAAGACTTGGGCAACACACCCAGCATAGGAAATGGACTTGGTGTTCATGAGGGAGTTGGTCATGGATTTGGGAACGGTAACAGAGATGGAGCCAAGGTCTAGGATCCACAGATTCATCAGGAAGAAGTACATGAGGGTGTGCAGGTGGTGGTCGAAGGCTATGACCATGAAGATAAGAAGATTCCCCATCAGGGCTGCCAGGTAAATCAGTAGAAACACCACAAAGTGCAAAATCTGCAGCTCCCGAACATCAGAGAATCCCAAGAGAAGGAACTCAGTCACGGTGGTTAGGTTCGGCATTTTCTTTCTCAGGACATCATGTGATGGTTTCAGAGGGAAGGACAAGAGCAAGGGCCAGGATTAGATCAGTTAAATAACTCTCCTTTTGTGATAACCACCTTAATTTCCTTCAATCAGACCCTTAGTTTGTGAAGATTGGTGTAATATGGGAATGAGGATGGGGAAACCAGCTCCACTGATTCCAGTGGAGTTACTCCCGACTTGAACTGGGGTGAGAGAAAGTAGAATCAGCTCAATGGACTCCAGTGCAGTTACTCCTAATTTACACCAGGGTGGTGGAGAGGAGAATTCGGTACAATTGCTTTTGAGGTATTTGTATTTGTATACCTCTGTCACCCAGATGTGGGCAAACTCTGGATAACGTTGTATAAATGTTACTATCCTCAGTTTACTGAGGGGAATCAGGGGTCTGGCTGGCCAGATTCTGCTGTCAGGGAACTGCTGTGAATGTTGTGGTGGCAATGATTGGGAACTCCATCATCATCACCTTGGTATGCACTGACTACCACCTGCAGTCACCCATGTATTTCTTCCTTTGCAATCTGTTCCTCATTGAAATCCCCATGATTATGACTGTGGTCCCAAAAATGCTGGAGAACTTCCTATCAGGGAGGAATACCATCTCCTTTTATGGCTGCCTGGCTCAGTCCTACTTCTATTTCCTGCTGGGCATTTCAGAGTATGTCTTGTTGGTCAGGATGTCCTACGATCAATATGTGGCCATATTTTACCCACTGAACTACAGCACCATCATGAATAGAAAGGTCTGCGTCTGGCTGGTGGTGGGATCATGGATGGGGGGATTCTTCTCCATCTTGGTCCCTACCGTGATCAAACTTGGATTGCCCTACTGTGGCCCCAACATCATCAACTGTTTCTTCTGCTACCGCGCACCCTTGTTATACCTCGCCTGTGCCGACATCCAGCTGGTGGAATTCATCAACTTCATCATCTCGCTGCCTGTGTTGCTAGCCTCCCTGATGCTGATGGTCATCTCCTACGTGTATATTATCTGCACCATCATCCGTATCCCATCCGCCAAGGGCAGGGAGAAAGCTTTCTCCACCTGTGCCTCTCATTTCACTGTGGTCACCATTGGCTATGGCACTTCCATCTTCATCTACATCATGCCTTGCAAGTCAGCTCCATGAACCTCAACAAGGTCATCTCTTTGATGACCACAGCAGTGACCCCAATGCTCAACCCACTCATATTCAGCCTCAGGAACCAGAAAGTCAAGGAGGTGTTGAGGGTCTCAATTGACAAGTGCCTGGGGCTCATCAAACACACACTCTGAGCTGGGCTAAGAAGGAGACAGTGCAGAAGTATTGAGGTTTTGTATTCCCTGGTGCTGCTGCTTTAGTTCCAGTGGAAGATGTCCATGGTCATGATTCTTCAGGGTGCAGACAGCCTCTTGGACTTTGCTGAGCACCCACAACGCCCATTGCAGTCATTGAGGATGTTCGGCATTTCCCAAGAAGCACCTGGCAGGATCAGAAATGAAGGCCTAAGTGTTCTTTTCAATGCTGCCCATGTGTAGTTTAGCTGCTCCTTGTGTTTGCTGTGCTGATGGCTTGGTTATAAACTGACAAGTGATTTATAAGTGCCCCACAGCAGCAGCATCCACTGATCCACCATTTAGGATTATAGCATCTCAGCTAGGGACGAAGACCATGCTGAAGATGTTGATTGTTTCCTATTGTTTTCTGTGACCAGTGCAGAAGAAGTGGGTATTTTAGGAGGGAGGTATGACAATATATACCAATATGAATAAAATAAAAGTTTTATTTAATAGTTCTTTCTTTCTTTCTTTCTTTCTTTCTTTCTTATTTTAAAATCAGTCCTTTCATGTCAGTACTGCAGAAGAAGCTGGCTTTAGAAAGGAAATATAATAAAAATATACCAATCAGAATATATAAAATAAAATATTCTGAATTTAAAAAGGAAAATACAATGTATGCATTTATTTGGGAACAGTATATCTATTCTGTGAAAGTGAGACTCTTCATAATCTGCATTTTACAGATGTGTAAACTGAGGCACAGACAGGTGAATCAATTTTCTCAAAGTCATACAGTGAGTCAGAAACAGAATCCAGGAGTAATCATTCTCAGTCCTCTACTCTAAACAATTAGACGTTTCTTCATGCCAGACCTTGAAATAGAAGCCAGAACACTCAGGGCCCCCTTGCTCTAACCACTAGATCCCACTCCCCTCCCTGAGCTGGGAATTGTGGATTGCCACAGGCACGCAGGGGCGAAAGAAAATGCAGGCCTGTTATTTACCAGGCTGCACGTGGCAATAGACTATATTGGTAAGGGATGCAAGGAGAGTATGGGTCACGATGCAAACTGCAGACACACACACAACTAAAATTAATCAATTTAAAGTTTTATTGGGGATAATTA